AGTGAGCATTGTGAGGGCTGTACACAATGACTAAGGCCCAGCCTACTATGGAGCCCTAACTGGCAGCACCTACAAGAAGCTGGGAAGAGCTGCCCATCATAGAGCACATGGTGTTCATGAGATCTGCACAGCACAGCATCTCCAAATACTTGGTGGCCTAAAAGCCCCTCCCAGCCGTGAGACCATCTGACTCTGTCAGCTGGAAAGTTATTTGCTGTAATACCACCCACTTTAGAGTTACATCACCATCCTATAAAAGAGCACCAATAGCCTTTTGCAGATGAAAAGCCTCTTCAGTGCTCCTCAGTATCATCTTCCTACTGCTCCTTTAGAGTTGGCCAAACTGGAGCAGCTCCAGACACCCCAGCCTGTTACAGACTACCTTTGCTCAGTGTATTATAGTCTGAGACTGAAAAAAACCCTTTGTTCACAGATTATTTTATTATTTCACATCCTAAAAAATGCCCCTAAGTAACACACTTTCAACTGGGTGAGTCAGTGAACACAAATTCCTGGTTCCTTTTTCTGGTTCTCATAAAAGACTCATACTGAGACTTTTGGAAATACATTTCATCGCTCTGTGCTCCAGCCTACTGTATATAAAACTGTGCAAAGCACAATGAGTTCCGTGACAGAAAGATGACAAATTATTCATTTACTTATTATTCACATACTTCACTGTTTATTTTTGGGCAAATTGCTCATTTCGCTGTCACAAAAAAATATTCTTCATACCTGCAAGCTAAGTCACAATACAGGAATTAAACAGATTCATTTGTCATACACAACCACAGAATTGTCTCTTATTTGACTACAAGACCTTTGTAACTATGACAAGATGTACATGAGAGGAGGCAAAGAGTGACAAAAATCCAAGGAAATATTCACGTAGAACTCCATGTTACCAAGAAAGTGTAAAGACTAATAGGCTCTAATAAACCCAACTGTAACCTAGAGATGCCGATTACTCTACCTGTCAGACTCTGAAATGCCAACATGGGTTTTCCCAGGATCAACCGAAGGAAACACCTCCTGGAGTGCCAAAGTAAGCGCGTTCGCAATGGACCGAAGGAGCAGCGCGCTCGGGAGCGCGGGAGCGGCGCTCGGGAGGAACGCCTGGCGTTCCGCGGCGCGGCCGGCAGAGGGCGCCAGGCCCCGCTGCCCCGGAGAGCCGCGCTGCCCGAGCTCCGGGACACCGCGGCTGGAAAACCGGGACATCCCGCGGCTGCAAAACCGGGACATCCCGCGGCTGGAAAACCGGGACATCCCGCGGCTGGAAAACCGGGACATCCCGCGGCTGCGGCGGGAAATGCGGGAGCCGTGGGCGCCTTCAAAAGGCTCCTCGCAAGCTGTTTAAATTTTTGTAGAGCTCTGAGTTTGAACACTCATTGCTACTTAAAAAAAAAAAAAGGGACTACTCAAAATACCCTTTCTCTAAATTGCAAAAATGGGGGTCTGTAGAGGACTGAAGATAAACCACAATTAAAATGCAGTTTGGGATAGTATAAATAAAAGCACTGGACAACACTTAAAGCTGTGTACTGATATTCTAGGCTTAGCAGTAGGAAAGGATTTTAAGCAGTCTCAAGGACACATGAATGTATGACAAGATTAACTGAAAGCAAAGGGAAATAAAGCCTAAATATCAGGAAACACATCCCAGTAAAGTATGCCTTGCTTCAGATTAAACCCCATCACCAGAGCCTTTCAAAGCTAGAGTATGCAAAAACAGCATAATACCCATTGTAGGGAACCCTGTCTGCACTAAGCAGGGGGCAAAACCAGGTGGAAGGGGTACTGGTTTTTTCTCTAATTTCAAGTCAAATATAAAGAGAAGCACATGTAAAAGTAAAATTTCTCACATACAAGAATCATTCACCCACACATTATAATGTCACAGAACAAACACATTTTGGGTGGTATCCCCGACCATAGTGGGGAGCTGATCTTTAAGGTCCCTTCTAACCCAAACTATTCTATGATTTCAAGTACATTATATCACAAGGAGTTAATAAAAGGCTGGGGAAGGAGCAATTTTCCTCTGGCTTGATTCAACACACTCGGATTATTCATCACATTTGTAAAGGAATATGAATCCTATCAAATAATTAGATGGTGTGTTAACCTTTCTGGTTTGCAACAGCCTGTGACTGACAAGTAGAAGGGTTCTCCAAGAACAATTTCCTGTGCTGTTGTTTCTTTCTGCCTGGACTCTCAATGAAGGGTGTATTTTGTGTGCTTGTGTAGGGAATCCCTGTGGAGGTTTTGTTGAGCTTTAGGTCAAACCTCTGGGAATTTAACTTAAAATTGGGGAGCTATTACATGCCATATTTTTTCTGGTATCTATTACCAGTACTAGAAGACCAGTCCTCTTCCATTACTGTAATTTAAACAATCCCACTCTCTTACATCAGTTTGGTTTAGAATGAGGTGGGAAGGTGAAATATCAAATTGCAAAAAAGTACACTAAAAGAAACCACTACCTCCTAGTACTCAATGTACACAACTAAGAAGTTTAAATAGTTATAGGAGAATCTCAGTGGTATTGTAACTTAGATTTTCTAAGACCTCTGCTTTAAAGTCCAGTGGGGTTTTCTCCTCCCATCATAGTCCCTGATGGTCACCTTCAAAGACTTGGTTGTAGAAAAAAAACAACAAACAGCGGTCCAGTCTGTTGGTGTTCTGAAATCTGTGATATAAAAATCATAGGATTTGTAAAAATTTTTAATTGTCCGAACTGACAATATCTGAGAACTCTCAAAATTTCTTGTGAGCCTTAAGGTTTCCAAGCAAGCCAAGGAAACTACAAAGCAGACTGGGGCTAAACAAATCTAACACAAATCCTTATATTCTGCTGATGAATAGGATGCCATGAACTACCTGGAAAACACTGGTAGAACCTCTTAACATAACATAGGTTAGGAAGGTCTGTTCTAATTCAGTTAAGAGTTGGTGAGGGAAGTTAGATCAAACAGGGTAACTGCAATTGTTTGTCATAGCTTTAAAAATTGTTCATTTCTAAGGGCTTCTCCTGGTTTAGGGTGAATTTGGGAGGAAACTTCTGAATGGGATCCCTCTAGAAAACAGATTCAAGCAGCCCCTCTTGGTCACCAGTACAGGAAAGATTTCCTTGGAGAAAAATGGAAAAAACTGTTTATTTAACAAGCCAAGTACTTACAAACATTAAAAAATAATAATATTAAACAATGGAATTTCTCGTCGTTCGGAAGAGAGGCAAATTCAGAGTTCTTTTTGTGGGGTGTAGCTCGGCTCGCTCAGTTTCTTATCGGTCCCTCCTGCGTTGGAAAAGGCAGTCCTGGGCCATGGTGGGCCACAGGCTGAGCTCCCGGTGCTTTTCTGGGTTTTCAGTCCAAAGCAAGGCTGATCAGTTCCAAGAAAAAGAAAAGCCACTGTCCAGGGAGCTTCTCTGCCTCAGCTAGCTTAAAAAAATTTATCTAGAAGCAAAGGAGAGCTCTCTCCTGCTGTCTGTGCAGCAGACAACACAGTCCATGAGAAAGAATGCGGGGGAGAAAGTGCAGTTTCTGCAAACAAACTGCGCGCTTCTTCTCCTCCCCTTCACTCTCAGAACCAGTTTTAAAGGCACAAAACTTATTTCTGGGCTAAACAGACAAATGGGGATAAAATTCAGCATCATAAAGTCACCCCAGGACTGGACTTTACATATGCTACTTCATTTTCTTCAAAAATTCTCCTTCCACTTCACTGTGATGAAGCCTGTTCCAGAAGCAGCTTCACTCTCAGCATGTTCTTCACACAATGGATCACACAATTTGAAACCTAGAAATAGTAGGCTTGGTAGAACATTTCAAACTGTTCACCAAACTAAGGCAAAAACACAGATGGAAGGAAAGATAATAGAGCGTAGTTGATTACTTCTGGTTAAAGTGTGGATAAATGCAGCTAAAAACAGTCAAAAGCAGAAGAAATTGAAAGCAGTGGATACTTTTACAATGAGGTACATTCATACAGTGTCAGTGGATGAATGTACGTACATTTCAAGAGAAATAAACAATGGAAACAGACTCTGCTCTTAGTAACACTGGAGTGAGTGAGATGCTCCCTACCCAGATGGCATTACTCTGGATTTTTTTTTTCTTAATAATTGCCAAAGGCAGAATCAGGCTCATTCGCTGGGTATTTGGAAACACATGACTGAGGAGCATGAGTCGGACAACAACTATGCCTTGCTGCTTTAGGGTTTTTCTGAAGAAGCACCTGGCATAACAGAGTTATTTCTCCAAAGGTGCTCCAGGGAGCACTGCCTTGTCAGACCAGGCAGAGCAGCGAGCAGCTCACCTGACTGGAGCAGGATGGGGACAGGAGCTGAGCGGGATGGGGACAGGAGCGCGGCTCTTTCCCTGCTCGCTGGCTGCACTCGCCCGTCCCCCCATCCCGCTCTGCTCGTGTCCCCATCCCGCTCTGCTCCCGTCCCCCCATCCCGCTCTGTTCCTGTCCCGCATCCCGCTCTGCTCCTGTCCCCATCCCGCTCTGTTCCTGTCCCCATCCCGCTCTGCTCCTGTCCCGCATCCCGCTCTGCTCCTGTCCCCATCCCGCTCTGCCCTAGGCACACAGCAGTCCTGCAGACTGGCAGAATGGATGATTATTCAGCAGCTCGTCGAGCCTGGGTGTGCTGCGTGAGTCTTTAGCCAGGAGACTGCGCGGGGCGGCAGCTTGGGAAGTATCCCGCGACGGAGCTCTGGCTGACCGAATGGCTGGGCAGCCTGGCCCAGACACCCGAAAGCGTGTTACTCTCAGCAGGAAACGCGTCTCTGGCACTTGGCAGCGAGGAGAGCTCCGGGGACCCTTTCCCGGGGCGGCTCCGCCAAGCGCCCCCATCCCTCCCGCCGCGCCGCGCCTGCCCGGGCCGCTGCCCACAGCAAAGATGGCGGCGCAGGGAGCGGCAGCGCGCAGCCGCCCTGCCCGGCCCGGCCCGGCCCCGCCCCGCCCTGCCGGGCCGCGCGCGCCTCAGCGGCTGGCGGCTGGCGTGGCCACGTGACGCGTTCAAGCGCGCCGCGCGGGCCCCGCGCGCAGGGAGGACGGCGCGGCGGGGGCGCGCGGGCGATCAGGTGACCCCTAACCCCCGGCGGCGGCGGCGCGCGCCCGTTACCGCCCCGCCCGCGGGGACGCGGGATGTGGGACACGGGCTATGGGATAGGGGACACGGGATACGGGACTGGGGACCCGGGACACAGCGCCGGGGAGCCCGGGAGTGGGGCTCTCCGGGGTCCGCAGCACGGGGGGCGGGAGACGGGCCAGGGGGCCGGGCAGGGTAAGGCGCAGCCTCCGGAGTGCGGGGACCGACCCACGGTGCGGGCGGCGCGGCGGGGGGACCCGGCCCATGCCCCGCGTGTTCTGGACACTCTGCGGCCTCGCTGTCAGCCCCCGGCAGGGAGTGTGGCCCGCCGGTGGCGGGGAGCAGCCCGAGCGCGCTGAAAGCTGCCCGGCCCGTGCCGCCGCTCCCGCCTGGGGCTCCGGCCGGGGCCACCTGCACAGCAGAACACCGGTGCTCGCTCTCCGGTGTGTCTCCTCGAAGCCTCGAGAGAACCCCTGCTCGGCCGTGGCGATGAGGCCAGCAGTGCCTTTGCAGTATGTTGGTGATGTGCAGGGACCACTGCTGGCCTTGCTGCATGAACCGTGGATGTTGGAAAACATTGCGGCATCGCAGTGAATTTGAAGGGTGACAGGTATACCGTTCTCACAGCCACGTTATCCTTTCACAAAGTACATTTTATCCCAAAGAATAAAGCTGCACCCTCTGTGTTAGGGGAAATGGTCACAAGTGATATAAAGCATAAAGACACCGGTATACAGAATGATTCTCTTGTGCTCCTGCTTCAGCTAATTCAGCTTTCCTTTCCCATAAAGGGGTTCCCTCATTCATGGCTTGAGCCTGGCAGGCATAGGATGGACTGTCAACTCCTCTGCAGGCACTGAAGTGACTTCACAAACAGTGGCCGTGAGCCGAAGACTCGCACAGGTGACACATCTGCTCCGGTAAGGGCCCTGTCTCAACAGAATATCCAAGTGCAGCTTTCCAGTGTAGGTCTAGAGGGGAGGGCAGAGCCTGGCCACTGGCATTATTATCTTCTATCACTGTAGTTTACTGGGACTAAGCTATGAACAAAAGTCTTATGTTAATTTTAGAGCATTAAGCAGTTAATTGTGTTAACACTCACAGTGACTTCAGTCTGCTTTCCCATAGCAGCCACACTGTGAAAGCACTTTCAGGGACTTCTTTAGCAAGAAAAACAAAAAATAGAAGCACTGAAATTGTTTGTAAACTGTCATTTAGCCTGCTTTCTTTTAAGCCAGCAAAGTTTGAGTTAAATAGTTCAGTGGAGTATAGCCACAGCTCATTTTCTGTCCTGCAAGTGTGTTTTGAGAAGTTCGCTCTGGGCCTGTATGTCACAAGCTGCACTGAGGGGGCCTTATATCCCAGAGCAATGCACTTCCCCAAGCACAGACACACCAAGCAGGATAAGACATGCTCTGTGCTTTTTCAGAAAAAAAATTCAGAGCTCAGTGAACCATCCCTGTCCCATTATTCACTCACTGACACTTGAGCTAAATGAACCTTCTCAGATCATATTTACATAAACTTGCTCTAACCTGTTCTGAGAAACATCCAAGGATACAACACCCACCTCCTTCCACTTGAAGATACCTCTAGTCATCGGTAGGCAAATTTATGATCCCATAAAAGTTGATATACAGTTCCTTAGTTCAGAAACATTCTTCTAAATTGCTTGAGTCTGTCTTGTTAGTAAAAAGTCCAAGGCTCTCAGTCATTCCCATTCCATCACATTGACCATTTGAGAATGATTACTGAAGTTGGAGTTGAAAGAGCCTTCCAAAACAATCTAGCTGTATGCAAACAGTTCAGATTCTTGCCTTTTTTTTTTGAGGAAGACAGATTCATACCAACTTTTCTTCAATATACCATAAGTACCTATTTCATGCACCACAAGAGCAATGGTACTTTTAGAGGGATATTATTTCTACATTTGTTTTACAAAAAGCCCCACCAAGCCACCAAAATAAATTTGACATTAACATGTTGGGAAGGAGAATACAAGGGGATGGAGATTGTTGAGATTGCTAGGTTCTCAAGACTGACAATAGGGTAGGAAACTGGCCAAAGCATCTAATACAGAAAATGAATAATTTTCACATTCACCATTTGAGAACTGATTCCACTTTTCTCTGCCTGAGGTTATGTGATTCAAATAAGCACTGCTGGCATTTCAAACTAAGCCTGACTTAATGAGATGACATACAGTGCTCCACTGCTCACTCCTTGATAAAAAACCCCAGTGTTTAAAGACTGGGGTTTGTCAGAAAATGACAGGAATTTCCAGGAGCTGAAGCTTTCATGTTCTGACAGGGCAAAACTGTAAGGCTGTGAGCAGAGCAATAGGAGTATCATTTCATCATATGCTTTTAAAAATAGATTCTGTGCAACATGTTACACAGAACCCATATTGCAACAAGAAATGCAGAAGGAGTTTCACAAATTTATTTGAATCAGTGAGAACTAGTGAAGTGATCTTAAAACCCACATTGCAATTATGACTGGAAGTTTAGAAGTATGGTAACATCTTTTCAGGAAAACTGAGCTCTCAGGAGAGTGATTTCTCTTGCCTTTGGGTTGTAGATAATTTTGTGCATTGTAAATCACTCACACAAAACTGAGCACATAGGATAAGCTCTCCTAGTGAATCTCCCCCTTAACTATTGCAGGTCATCACTAGAAGAAGTGTAGCATTTGAAAGTTTAATGCAGAAGGAGTTTTGATGTCCCGAGTTATGTAATTCTAAATTTGGCTGAGTGTCACGGGGTGGTTTTGTTTATATGCTGCTAACTCTGGAAGACTCCTCTAGTTTGGAAATGCCAAACCTTTCTGATTCCCATGGGACACCAGAATTGTCTGTTTAGTAAGCTATATGACTGTTCTATGAGTTCTGTGTCAAACAGGCCTGGCCAGGTCCTAGTGTAGTTGAAATGAGAGAGCTGCACTGATGGGAGCATGATGACCCTTGGAACCTCTCTGGCCAATGACCATATCAGTTTCTCTAAATGCAAGGCTGGTTTCCTTCCTGGGAAGAACTTGGTGCTTATACCAAGAATTTGTCCACCCAGCAGCTCTGTAGACGCCAAGGGGAAGGAATGGTTAAGAAACAGCTTTTTTCCACCCTGTTCAGTCCAGGCTCAGTACTGATAGCCAAAGCAGGGCTGTGGGCAGCCCCCTTCTGCCACTGCTTCTGCAGGAGCTCTGTGATTCTTAGAACTCCCCTGAGTTTTGGGTTATCAAGTGCCCCTTGTTGCAGCTGCATCAGCTCTAGAATGGCTCATTTACCGAGCACAACAACGGGCTCCTGTTTGGGCAGGATTCCATTGGCAGTCCATGCCTGACCTGGAGACCTTTGATATTTTGGCTGGCAGACTACTTGTCTGTGCCCTGCTTGGTATTTCCCTGTAAAATATACTCTAGGATGTCCTTTCTTTAGGAGACATTACCCTTCCTCCCACTCATTCCTGAGTCAAGTCCAAGCATCACTGCATATGCTCTTGGCTGGAAGGTCCACCCCTTTCTGCAGGGAGTGTACAAGCCTACTCCCTGTTTCTTCCTCACTGGACAGCACAGTCTTCCAGCTCAGAAGAGGTCCCTGGTTCCTGCAGCTGGACACATCTGCATTTCCAGCTTTGCTTCCCAGAGGGGACTTGTTAAATGTACGGTACAGCTGCATACTGACAGCATCAAGACAGTCAGGAGAGGCCCAAGATATTGGGCTCCTTTTTCCAGTGGATCCTCATACTGCAGTTTTTTATGGATATCTTTGCCTGCTGTTACCGAGAGATGACAAGATATTGGAGAAGTTTGTGAATTGTTCTCATGGGAAGAGCACACTTGCCTATACCATACCTGCATTTTGATCTTGATATTTTTATTTTATTAAAATTACACAGAGTTTTTCCTTCTTTTTTTTTAAAGGAAAAGGCTTAGAGAGATATGGAGATTGAAAGAATCATTCAAGACACACTGACACGCTTCATCCAGTCCCACATCCCTGCAGCAGATCTCAGGTATGTTGAGATAGGCAGTTCCAGTATCATTGCTTCTGCATTGTCACTCTGTGCATTATACTGAATTCTGTAGTTTTCCTGTATTTTGTGTTGCTCCCTCTTAAGTCAGATCCAGGATGTAGGTAATTTGCATAGGCTCTGATGGGAATGCTGGAATAACTATAGTTTAGCATTGCAATCTAGCAATGGCATTTCTTTGATGAGCAAGATGATTAATTTCCTGTCCAGTAATACCCATTAGGATATGGGATTTCCTTCATTCCACAGCGCTCCCAAATGGCTTTCTGAGCAGGATCATCTCTGTCAGGCCTCTCCCTGTTTTGAGCTCTGCCTGCATGCAGAGATACAGCCACCTTGAGGCTGGAACACAGCAGCAAGCGTGTTCCTGACACCAGCGTGGAGAGCAGCAAGCAGAGAACACTGTATCCCACAAAGTGTAACTCACCTGAAATACCAGTCAATATAGAACAGCCAAGGTCTTGAACACCTGCAATATTTTGGTTAGCTCAGCTGAAGCACCCACAGGAGCACAGCCTCTGGAACACACACTGGGACTTTCATTCAGTGCTGCCCAGGCAGTAGGAACACATGCACTATTTATCTGTTAATGCTTCCCTCTCAACCGCTGACCACCTGCTACTTGGCCTTAGGGGTGGTATCTCCTCATAACATACAGTCACATAGGTCCTGCTGCTGTATTAGAAAGACACAAGGTTAGGCAGAATGGGGATGGAGAGAAAGGAAAAAATGGGCCTGCTGACCTTGCTGTCTGTGTTCTCTTTGTCTCCAGTGGGATGGATGATGTTTTCTTCTCTTACATCACGGGTGTCCTGGAAGAGCTGGGCTCACCAGAATCCCCTGAAGAGACTTTTGACATGGACACCTTTGTGGAAATGATGGAGGCATATATCCCTGGTTTTGCAGAAATCCACAGGTATGTGATTGTTACTGGTTTGTATGTGTATGCCATGCATCAAGGGCCTGGCCCCAAGACCCCCAGTACTACAAATTCTTTTGTTATATCCAGTTGAAAATGTATTAGTACTAAACCTGAGCCATCATGATAAGTTACTCTTTGCCTGAATACACAGGTGCTAATCCTAATATAGTTTGCAATTAGGTCCTTGGTAATCTGAAATACCAGTTGATTTTACTGGGCTTCCCATCAAGCTTTGTCTTTCTATAAAATGGTAGCCAAGTAGGAGAGGCTAGTGCTTTTATTCTTCATGCTTATTATACAGCTTCTGTCTCTTGCAGTGGGGATGTTTGTGAAATGATGTTCTCCCTCTCAGAAAGGCTTTGTGAAGCTCGCAACAAAGGTGAGTTACACAAACAATGTCAGCACAAGATCTGTACATGTTTTTAGCCTTAATATTTGGAGTTGAACAATGTCACAGAAAAAGTACAAACTTGTTTGCCACAGTTAGGAACTCATAAGGTGGCCCAAATTGATTGACAAGTTTGGGGGTTTTTTTCCAACAGTCAGGTTTTTCACATCAACAAATGGGAGATGGGAGGTTGGAGTCATATGGAATACTGTCCAAGACATACTGAAGTGAAAAACACTTGATCAATTCTCCAAATACCTCTATTGAGATCAAAGCCAGAGTAATAAGAAAGAACTAACTAATTCAGGGCTGCTTGTTGAAATTCTGCTGTAAGTTAATTCTGAAAGAGGATTTCTGCCTGCCTCTGATAGCCATCTGCCTAAGTGGCACTACCACTGAGCAGCCTTTATCAGGTACATCATCAAATAGGGTATCCAGCTGAGTGCATGGATACAACATCTAACTTTGAGCATCCTCAAAGCTCACTTCCTGTTCATCCATGAACCCTGGCACAGATGCAAAATCAGTGATGTGCTCTGACCTGCACTCTGCAGGACTGCAGAAGACTACGCTGTGACAATGGCCCTTTCTAACCTCAGCATTCACAGGCCAGCTGGATTGCTGTATCAATTAACTCCATGGGTGCTTTCCACTAAAGAACAGACAGGTTGCAGTGCCTGGATATCAAATCTTTCAGGACATAACCAGGCTGAGTTTTGCTGGTCTAGCAACATCACTGCTGCCTTGCCAGTAGGCTACACAATGTAGAATAGACAGTCCTGTCTTTTATCTTTCTTGCTGCTTTCTTGAACTTGACAAAATCTTCTGCTCTGCTCCCCTGCATCCTACCCTTTGAGGATTCTGATGTAGCCAGAGTGTGGAAGGAAAGCACCATTCCAGTCTTAGGACAGAACAAAAGTGAAATGGTTCTTCCTACAGTGGGAAAAAGAGCCTGTAAAAAAAGAGATGCATCAGAGTAACCTGATCACAGGATGTGCTGGCTTGCATGCAGCCTGAGGACTACCACAGTGTATTCCCAAGTTTAAAATCAAAACTACACCTTAGTTCAAAGAGCAAATACCAGGGAATTCTTAGAAATAGAAGTATCCACAACTGAAGCACTAGTGGACTGAGAATTGAAAAGTATAATTGAATTTGCAAGCAGCCCGTGCCCTTTACAGCCTGGAAATGCAGAACTCGGGCACTCCAGCATGTGCTAGCACTGGCTTCCTGCAGATCAGTGGGAGCAGAGCTGCAGCTATCCCTGCTAAGGGCAGGAGAAACAGTAGTGCTTCCAAGTATTGTCACTTAAGAAGAGATTTGCTTTGGCACACAATGCACTAGCAATCTAATGCCAACAGAAAGCACAGAGCTCTAGCCTTAGTGGGACTGTTCCTCAGGAGATATCACTGTGTCTTTAAGAAAAACTTGGTCAAAAGGCTGTGGAAAGCAGGAGTGAAGCGTCCTCTGAAGATCTCACCAAGGGCCAGGAGGCTGGAGCTGGAGCCTGCAACGGGGAAAGACTGTGCACTGTAACAGACGGAGCCGGGGCCCAGGTAGGAGTACCCCGCAGAGGAGCAGGAACACTGGGACAGGCACACAGCACTAGGCTACCAGCACCACCTGAGGGCATTTTCCAGCTCTGGACAGCATAGGCTGTGACACAGCATCACTTCTGTCCATGATCTTCTCCATTGTATGGCCTGAGCAAGACTGTCAGAAAATTATGTGCTGACAGACTGTGAGCCAATGCTCTGGCTCGTCCTTTTCAGTGGCTGGAAAGGGTAAGCAAGAGCAATGGCTCAGAGAGCCTGTCCCAGTGCCTTCAGAAATCCCACAGCAGCTACAGGTACTGCAGTACCTTCTACATCAACCCCAGCTTCCTCCCCCACACCCTGCTTGCTGTTTCTCCAGTACTGATCTATTCCTGCTCTGCAGTACAAGCATTCTGTGTCCACAGCGTTCTAGAAAATGCTGCTATGGTTATGCCTTCTGATGTAGCATCAGGTCAGTGTTTAGCAGGCCCTTTCCTTTCTAATCAAAGTACATATAACTTCACAAGGTGGGCAGGAGTCAGGCATTCGCACCACAGGGTCCAGGAAGCTCACTCACTCTTAAGCATGGCCACACAGATGAGTCAGGTTACAGGAGCCGTGCTTTAAAGCAAGGTGAAATACAGAGGGAGGAGATCAAAGGAGAGTGAGAGGAGTTGGTCTTTCCAAAGATACAGTCCCCTGTTAGCTTCAGGAATCAGATTTAGTAACGGTGGTAAGGAGAGAGAGCTTTCAGCAAAAGGCAAGCTGAATTTCCTGACTATGAAAAAACAGACGCCCTTTTCAGTAGCCCTCTCCTCACTGCATCCCCAACTTACCACTGTCTCTTTCTCCAACTAGGAAGGTGCTGACTTGAAGGATGGGGTGGAGCTGCTCCTGGAGATGTTCCCAGCCTGTACTGTGAACCAGGCAGAGAAGGCTCTTGCCATGACCTTGGGGAACTTGGAAGAGGCAGTGCAGTTAATTGTGGAGGAGAAGGTGGAAATAGGCCCAGCAGGTGCGAGTGTGAAGGTACTGTACTCTGACCAGGGTGGCAGTGGGCCAAGGAGCAGGGCAGAACTCAGGGACACAGGACAACTCAGCAGACAGGTGCCACAGCTGTCTGCTACAAGCAGAAATTTTGACTGCAGAAACTTTATGCACAATAAGCCAGGAGGATCATGCAGAGCGACAGCTGCTCTCCCTCCCCTGGCTCTCCTAGTATAGGCTGTGCCCACCAAGGCAGGACCCCAGTGGAGCTTGGCTGGCACCCCTTTCCCCCTGGAGGGCTCCACCAGCAGCTGGTTTCACTGAGCTAGCAGGTAAGCTGTATGCCCTGTTGTTGTGCTATTCACACACCAACTTGTCTCCTCCCAGGAACTGGCACGGCCTCGCAGAGCACCCAACCACGAGGAGCTAAAACAGGTCATCCTACAGAAGTAAGTACCCAGCAGCAAAGAACCCCTTGTTTTGCTCCAAATCAATGAAGAGGTAGCAGTTTGGGGAACAGTGTGGTCTATAAAGAACTAGGGGTGGGTATTGGCTGAACACATCTAAGCACAAATACAATCATCAGCTGGGAAGAAGGGAAAAAAAAAAGAAAAAACCAACTAACCAAACACATACACACAAAAACCCCAAAACCCAAACAAACAACCCACAAAACCTAAACAGAACATGTTTGGTTTCTTTTAGAGCTCTGGCACAGAAACACGACCTGTACCAGCTGGGTCACGGCACTGGCTGCGTGCAAGGTTTCAGCCTCCTATAGATGCAGTGTAAGTCACAGTGCTGTTAGCTGAGGTCCTGGTTAAAGGTTCAAGGCACAAACATCATGCTGCAGCTCAGGTAACAAACACATGGTGACCTGTAGAACTACAGTAACTCATTCATACCTCCATTCTTGGAGACAGTCCAAACAAGGTTAAAGATACCTTCAAGAGACTGCCTATACAACAGCACTGGGAAGATTAAATCTCAATTGCTGAAGGTGTGAATTCAATGCATTTAAAGAAACCTCTCTGAAGTCTATGGACTTCTTGGGAATGAAAGTTTACCTATATTCATTTCTAAAAGCATTCAAACAGAATTCTCAATGGGAGAACCCACACTGTGGTTTCATCTGTCTGCTTTAAGATCACATCTTTCATGAGTATCCTCATGCAGGCATACAGCTTCCACACGTCTATCCAGCCACATCTTTTCCACTTTACATTCTCCCCAGGGACAAAATAAACAGTCGATAGGCTAGGAAAGATAAAGCAAGGCAGAACAGCATCCAGGCAGAAGTAGTAATCCTTGTCCTTGTCCATCTCCTGTGCAGGCTCATTTCAGAGGGACAGGCAAGGGAACAAAAAACCACCAGCTTCTTGTTATGTTTCTGAGAACTTCACTTTAATGACATTTTGGCAACATCCTGTACTTTTAACATCACTCAAGCACAGGTACAGAAAGCAGATGGCCATAGCTGAAGATACACAAGAGTAACTATACTAACTACTGAGGGAGAAGTCATGGTCACCTGTGCTAAACCAGCACCAAAATCTCAGAGTAGCAACTCAGCAGTACAGCAAGCAAATGCTTGGACCCTGATGTTTCAATTACATAGGAAATGAGGTGATGCTTTTATCAAGTTGCTTCCAGCACAGACCTGTTTCACAGTCAAGTAGTAGGAGGAGTGTGAAAGGAACACCATCATTCAGGGCAAAAGCAGACAGATTGGTCCTGTAATCTCACCTATGTCTCATCTGGCTGCCATCACTAGCACTGAGAAGGAACAAAGCTGCCCTGATGGCAGAACACAGCAGACCTCAGTACCTCTCTCAGTTCTGCAGTGGCTGTCAGCATTCTCAACCACCTGAGTTTTCAATACCCTTCACATACAGCTAAGGATGCCACTCCAGGAGAATCCCGCTAGATTCTCACCAGAAGGGTGACATACTTCCTGCCCATTTCACCCAGAGGGGAACATCACGTTTTCCTAGCTGCAGTCTAGGCAAGTAGGACACAAACCAGCCAGAGGAGAAGGGACATAGGCTGTGAGTAGCCCCCAGTAATGTATGTTAGAGTGTTCACTGAATGCTACTTGTGTTTCAGATACATGATGGTGGATAGTGCAGACGATCAGAAAACACATCGGCCAGCTCCACCCAAAGAGGTAAGCAGGCCCAGCTCACCAGCAGTTTAAATGTCCCAAAGGTTAAAATAAAACCAGGCTGCAAGTCCAAAAAAACAACAGGGCAGGCCAAAGGCAGGTCTGTTCATAGAACCTGTCAGTCAAAGAGGGAAGATTAGCTCAGTTAAGGTGCTGCAGGAAATGTCAATTCTTACCTTTTCTGACTACCATGGCTCTTGCTCCCTCCCATCAGATAGCACCCTTCCCAGTTTTGGCCAAGATTCCCAACACAGACAATGGTAAAGCAGCCCACCCACTCACCTCCCATAGTGCAGCTCTGCTTTTGCTTGCCCCCTCCATTTCTCTAGCAGTGTGGCTGTCCATCCACTTGTGTTGATATCTTTCCTCTCCAGGCTCCCAAGAAGTTGATCCGCTATATTGATAACCAGGTGGTGAGCACAAAAGGAGAGAGGTACAAAGACATCAAGAAGCCTGAGAGTGAGGAGATGAAGAGAACCTACATCAGCCTAAAACCAGCCAGGAAGTATAAGTTCCACTGACAGCCAGGTCATCCTGCTCTTCAACCTTCCACCTCACTGCCAGGCATGGCAGGATGGATGTGTGGTGGTAGGAATGAGGTCGACTTCACCTGCTACTAACTTGAACTAACCTGGAAGCCAGGACACTGCTTTCAGTTTCCTCAACTAACCTGGCTGAGCAGACTTCTCTCCTTGTGTAGCTATCCCTCTGCCCCCCGGGGCACACTGCAGTGGCTCTCCAGGACCTGGGCATTCTCTGCTATTCCTTGCATGGGACATTTTTAGATCTGAGATGTGGCATGTGCTTTTGCAGCAACCTTTTTAACAAGTCTTTGTGCACTGTTGCTTTGAGTGCCAGTATTAATAAAGATGATGTGAGTTGGTGTGTAGTTCAGCCAGAGTGTGCACATGCATTAAAACACTGCCTCCAAAGACAGGAGCAGGGTCATCCTCTCTTCCTCTAATTACTCTCTTCATCACGTTCTCAAGATGCAGCTGCTGTTTGATTAATTGCCTAGCGGATTAAAGGGCTTAGGCTCAACTCCAGCACTAGGCTCCCCCTGCCAGCACAATCTGCAGCTCTCTCCATAAACTCCAGCTGATAGCAGAGTCAGTGCTCCTGCCATTTCTCACCACTGTTGAGAGCCAAAGCTCCAGCCACACAACTGGAAGCAAAATACAGTAGTAGGCCTGAGCACTACTAAAATATTAAGTCAGATGCTGGAAGAAACAAATGGCAATGACCAACTGCTTTCAGTGACAGCACAGCTAGGTTTGGCATTTTTCTGTCAGTCAAACTGCCATTTGGAGCACAATTCCCACCTTGTTCCAGCCTAAACCAGCACACTAGGCCTGGGCAGACACACTGCCTGTACTGGGGCCATGCTAGTCCTTTGGTGCCAGGCTAGCCAGTAGCTGTGGGCTGGAGCTTAGGCTCACTGCCCTCCTCCCAGAGCCCAGAGGGGCCTGCCCTCTCCCAAGAGGAGGGTTGGTAGCTATTCTTTCTGCTCCAGCTGGTCTGCTTTGTTCCACAGCTCTGCTGGCATGCCCTGCACACCTACCCCAGGGGACAGTCCCCCATCAAATACTCCCCTGCTTTCTGGACAGCTGCTGCTTAAAGATTTAAAATACAACAAATAATAAGTCCTATCTATCAGCTGGCCTGACCAAGCACCTGTTCAGCACCATGGTGTTCCTGCAAATCACTCGCTCTTTCCACGCCACTGCAGAGGGAGTTACTTTCCCCAGAGGCACCAATGAAGTCCACTTATGAGCACTCAGTGGCTGCTACACAGCCCCAGAGGAAAGAGTGAGCTCCACTCAGGCCAGCCTCACCAATGGGACTGACCTCTCCCTCTGCATGTCCCTACAGCAGCCAGTTCCGGCATCCTTCTGGGATCCCAGCATTGTGTCAGTCCCCCCCTCCCCAGCAGCAGCAGTTCTAGATCTGAAGGTTGATGAAAGGGGCGAAGCCAACCACATCCTGCAGCAGAACGAGAGCCCTCTGCAGCGGAGGCTCCACATCCAGCTCCACCCCACGGCTCCGGAGGATGCTCAAGCTGGACTCAGCCACGTTGTGGCAATGCTTGACCTTCAGCGAACGCAACTTGGGACAGTACTCAGCCAGGACCCTGCCAAGAAAGACAACATAGGCAAGTTGCAAGTCAGGACTCCCAAGTGCACCGCTCACACTCCTCTTTACTCCCAGCAGCCTAGCGCTCATGACTGTGCCACACATGCACCATACTTTGGGGACAGCACCGTGGTGGTATGAGATAAAGTCAAGGGACATCTGGATCCCAGACCTATCCTCCATGATATGCTGGGAAATTTGCTGTCTATAGCACACAGTGCTTCCCTTGAAGGGCCTGCTAGTGGCTTCTCTCCCAGACTAAGCTCTCACTGCTTTCAGCATGAAGAAATATGACTTTCCTCTCTGGTTCTGTCCCTCTCCCCATCCCAGACACTTGCCATCCCCACTCTGGCCCCCCATGTTGCATAGTACCTGATGGAGTCATTCTTGACTCGTAGACACCCCGTGAGGTCCAAGTGCTCCAGCTCTGGGCAGCACTTGGCAGTCTCCTCAACTGCCACGTCGCCCACATTGGCATTGACAGCCAGTGACAGAGACTTGAGCCTGCCACACTTCTGCACCAGGTAGCAGATGGCCTCGTCCTTCAGCTGGCGACAGGCCGTCAGGTCCACAGCCTCCAGGGCCTTGCAGTGGTCAGCCAGGCTGCGCAGGGACAGGCTGTCCACCCACTCACAGTGAGCCAGGGAGAGCTGGCGCAGCTGGGGGCAGCTCAGCGAGATGGCCACCAGCGCGTGGCGGCTGAGCTGGGCGCAGCCCTTCAGCTGGATCTGGTGCAGGTGGTGGTTCTGCCCAATGACTGGGAGCAGCTCCCGGTCCGTCAGCCACTCGGAGCAGTTCTGGAGTGCCAGCTGCTGCAGAACTTCATTGTCCTTCAACAGGTTAACAAAAGCGGCCCGAGGGATGGCAGGTCCGATCTGCATGGGGAACCCAGGAAGAATGAGGCATCCCCCCAGGGTTTCAGATAAGCCTGGTCCCCACCAAATACTCTCTCCCCTCCTCTCTTCTTCTGTGACAATAGCGACCAAAGCCATCCCCTGTCCTCATCCCAAGGCAAACTCTACCATCAGACTGCTCACTTCATGCCAATGCTACTGCCACAAGCTAGATGATACCCTGGTTTCTCCATCCCACATTATCACTCCTGCATTTATATTCTCATGATGAGCTCCACACCTCTGCTCTCCAAATATCCCTTTGCTAGACCACTCTGTGTCCTCACAGAATAGCAGCTACTCCAGTCTGTCCCAGGCAGTGGCTCCCAGGAATAGCACCAACATTCCCTAAAGACCAAGCAGAGTTATCTCCCATCAGACCCAACCTACTGCACAACTTTCGTGAGGACATGCCACTCCAAAACTCCAAACTGCCAGCCAGTGCCCCATAATGGCCTGGGTGGAGTTTCCAAGCTTACTCCTCCCAGGGCCTCTTACTCAAGACACTGGCATTGCTGGGCCCTGAATCACTGCCTCTCCTTCCTAAGCCCATCTGTCCAGTTTGACACCTGAACTATTAACCCAAGCTTCTGAGCAGAAACTACCCTCCTTGCCTACCCTTTCTTTTCCCCACATAGATGCTCCCCTGTTAGTTCCAGAGCAGTAGGACATCTGTGTCCTCCCCCAGCCTCAGAGCCATCCAATACCTGGCTTGAGTCAAAGCAGCGCATGTTGGCCAGGTACAGCTGGATGAGAGACTGGAATGACTTGCTGACCCTCTGCAAGCTCAGGAGTTGCTGCAGTGGCAGATGACAGAGGATATGTGGAACCAAGATGTCCTCCCAGGGCAGGTCCAGGAGGCATCCCCTGGTCGGGGTCACGCTCATCATCAGACACCAGAGAGCCAGGCTACTGCAGGAGCCAGGCAAGATCAGCTCACACCTACTGCCGGGTGCCTCTACAACAGCCAAAAAGAAAGACTCAGACTCGGCGACGATTCCCTCAATCAGCCCACAGGGAACAGCCCCTTGGCAAGCAATCAGCAGGGCACGTGCCTGCTGCCTGCATCACCACCTCCCCAGCCTGGGACGTTCACTGCTCAGGCATCCGAGTCTACCTGCCCACAGTGTCCTCCAGGAGAGCTTGGGTGGGGCTTTCCACCAGCTGCTGAAGGAGGCCCCGTCCCTCAGCGAAGCAGCAAGAAGCTGCTGCAGCGTTACCGCAGCAGTCGCACAGTAGCTGTGCCCAGCATTCGTGTCCGAGCATCGCTCTACCTGTCAGCCAGTCCCCGCATCCAGTGCCGGGCCACTCGGGCACCCTGCCAGGGGGAGAGACCAGGCGCTTGCTCCTTCCCGCGGGAGAAACAAGGCTCCGGGCTCCCCGCAGGGAGCTTCCCTCCGAGGAGCGGACGTTCAGCGTCGCCGGGAAGATGAGGCCTCGGGCCGCGAAGGGAAGGAGCAGAGGGGTCCCGGCAGCCCAAAGCCCACCGAGCTGCGGCTGGAGGCCGCGGTTACACTCGGCCCCAGCACAGTCCGCACTTGGGGGGGGTCCTCACCCGAGGCCATTCCCGTCCCGCCGTCCCAAGGGGCCTCGCTCGGCCCGAGCCGCCCCCGGCAGCCCCGCCACCGCAGCGGGGCGGCCGCCGGGACCAGGAGACCGTCCCGCTGCCCGCCGCCGCAGCGCCCAGCCCAGCCCAGCCCAGCCTTGCTTTGCCTTGCCTTGTAATGCCCTGCCCTGCCTTTCCCCGGTACCTGCGGCCCCGGCGGGGCTCTCCCGGCCGCTCCATCCGGCGCCGCACCCGCCCTGGACACCGGCGGCCGCCCGTGACGTCACGGCGGCGGGCGGAAGTGCGCGCGCCCCGCCACCCCACCTTCGGCCCCGCCCCTGGCCGCGCCCCGGCGGCGGAGCGCGCTACCGGGAGCGGAGTGAGGCAGCGGACTGCGGCGGGGAGTGCCGGGCGGCACAGTGGGCCACGGTAGTCACAGGTCCCACTGGTGTCGCAGCGACTCCCGCAGGCTGCTCCCAGCGGCGCGCACACCGGCTCTGGTGGCCCAGCTCACGGGGCGCAGCCGCTCCCCCGCGCACAGCGCCTGTCCCAGTTCCTCAGTTATCGCAGATCGCTAGGGCACACCAGATCCCCATGGACCCCGTTCCCCGGCGCACTCCGGTGGCTGCAGCCCCGCAGCTATCCCGGCTCCCCAGAGCACACCGCCTGTCCCAGTTCCTCGATTATCCCGTTTCCCCAGCACACGCGAGATCCCAGCGCACACCAGCCACCTCAGTTCCCCACGGCCTCAATTCCCCGGCGCACACCGGTTGCTCAGCCCCGCAGCTGCCCAGGTTCCCGGGCGCACACCGGCTGCCCCCATTCCCCACAGCTCCGGTTCCCCGGCGCACACCGGCTGCCCCCATTCCCCACGGCTCCGGTTCCCGGCGCACACCGGCTGCCCCCATTCCCCACGGCTCCGGTTCCCGGCGCACACCGGCTGCCCCCATTCCCGTTCCCAGCGCACGCCCCAGCCCCGGCGAGCGGCCGCGCATGCGCAGCGCGGCGCCGCTGTCCGTTCAGCACTACGCGGAGCCGGGACCTGCTGCTGCCGGTGAGCGACGGCCCCGCCAGATCCCCCGGCCACCGGCCCGGCTCCGCGGCTCTTCCAGCGGGCTGTGCCGCCCTTTCCCGCCCGCAGCAGCGGACGGATCCCCGGGAAAGGCAAATCCCAGGAGCTCGCAGTTCTCATAACACTCCCGACCGGCAGCCACTGGGCCCCGCTCCTCCGCCGGTACCGGGCTGTCCCCGCCCCGGGGCTGCCCGCGGCCCGCCGCTCCCAGCCTGCATCCTCGCACGCTGCCAACCGGCTCCTCGCGCTC